CTTCGGCACTATATTACGTTATTGTGTTGCAAGTGCCGTAAAACTCTTACTAAAACTAAAACGAGCGTTAATAAATTCATTTTGTTTACGTACTGACTTGGGTTGGTGTCACAAGTTGGGATATGTCCGACTTGTTGCGTCTCCAACAATAGTTTTTAAACATTACCAAGTCATTTTTGTTGTTGTTAGAAGTGAAATGTTGTTTTAACTTTTTTTTTTAATACATACTTACACTCTTATTTTTTTCTTTAACATATTATTCGTTGTTTTTAGTTTGCCTCGGTATTTCAGCTTGAATAGCTTCTTCTTTTCATTTAATATTTACTTTAACTCTTTGCTATTTCAGGGCTTGTTGCTGGGGTAGTGGGTAACTTCTTATTAGATGAATGTAGATCTTCACAAAACCTAATGTAACCAGCAATCGTATCACATAATTCTTCTATACTATTATTACATGAATCTTTAAAAACATTCCAATTTGTACATTCAAAGCATCCTCTCGGGCTTTCCCTGTTTTCTTCACTCCAGGTGGAGACAACTTTTTAAATCGGCTTTGACGATTTAATTTAATAATTGGTAATAAAAGAGGCATGCAATGATCAGAGTTTCCTATTTGAGGTAGATATATATTATTTATAAGCTTTAAAAACATTTACATAACATAGGTCAATAGTTTTTTCCTCACAGGTTGGTACAATAACATATTGATGGTAAATGGGAAGGGCAGAAGTTAAAAAGTATTTGTTAAAATCCCCAGTGATAATTATTTCACCGTCTGGACAAAAAGACTGTTAAAAAATGGTCGCCTACATTCCTATATTTATAATTGGTAAAATGGTGAAACATTAAACATTTAATTGATAATAATAAAACAGAGGGAGAGATACTTTATTATCCCAGAGAAACATTTTTCTGGCTGTACAGAACCTTAAAAACACATGCAGGTACATAAACATCCATAGAAAAGTGAGGTAAAGCTGACAAAATGTACATGTCGCATCAGAAGCATCATTCAACAACATGCTGGAATTTATTACATAAGACCTTTCGAGTTATATAAACTAGTCAACAAAAGTTAAGGAAAGCACTGTAAAAACAGTGATATATTTGCATGCGAATTCTTTCGAGGTTTTACTTTTACTAGTAAAACTAGACATTGGTGAAATGTTACTCTCTGACTAATGGGCTTGTACACACCAAGGTTTGAAATGCACGTGACTCCTGTGCGCTGAGCTATGGAGGGGGCTAAAAGGTCCAATGTTTTCCAATTGTCTTTTTTTATTCTCTCGCTCTAACCGTCAGGAAAAATGATGAACGCTCAAAAATCAGTTTTCACGTGCAAGATTCATGTCTAGTGAGTGAGTTGCACATACTCATTTGCACTGTGGATACACCATTCTGCTGCTGTAGGACTAAGCGTAAACGTGCCTTCTCGACAGAAATTATCTGATGTAAACAGAGGACGAGCCATTGCTTGGGTACAAGATGATGTTTCACTCCGACCAGTTGTTACACGTCTTCGAGTCGTTTCTGTCATTTCACGGCTGATTCAGCGTGTCAACGCCATTTGTAGTGCCCAAGAGCGACCCAGATACGGTCAACCAAGAGCCACTAATGCAAGAGAAAACCGATTCATTCATAGACAGGCTCTGCAGTCGATATCCGCTCCTGCAAATCGCATCCGGACCCGGCTGAGAGCGGCAACTCGTGTTAACATTAGTTGTCAGACCGTACGAAGACGTCTTCATGAGTTTGGACTTAATGCACGTCGACCAGCAGTCCGTCAGCGTCTCACCCCAGCACAGGGGCTGCTCGTCTTGCCTTTTGCCGACGCCATATAAGATGGACACGTCAACAGTGGGCAAACGTACTCTTCAGCGACGAGTCCCGGTTCTCTTTGCATCACAATGACGGTCGTATCAGGGTTTGGAGGCGACCCAGAGAGCCGCTCCTCGATGCAGCCGTCAGAGAAGTGGTGCCTTTTGGTGGTGGTTCCGTGATGGTTTGGGGTGCTTTCAGTCTGAACCACAGAACACCTCTGTACCATGTGCAAGGGAATCTCACTGCAATACGTTACCGAGATGAGATACTCCGTCCTTTAGCACTACCTACTCTGCAGCAGATGGGGCCACACGCGATGTACCAGGATGACAACGCCCGACCTCATAGAGCGTTGCTTGTCCAAAACTTCATGCAGCAGGCTGGCATCAACCGAATGGACTGGCTGGCCTGCAGTCCGGACTTAAAAACCTCTGGAATGAGTCGCAACGTCGAGTCAGAGACAACCACACCCCTCCAGGAGATGAGCAGCAACTGTTTCAGATGCTGCAGGCAGAGTGGCAGGGGATGCCTCAGAGAGTATTCACCAACCTCCTGAACTCGATGAGGAGCCGGTGTACTGAGTGCCAGGACAATCGTGGTGGGCATACTCATTATTGAAATCATCTGAACTGTTTTGTTTTTGTTGTAGTCAGAAGTTAAATGACTTCGAAACCACTTGACAATTTTGTGATTTGGGATTTTAACCCCTACCAAACTCAATGAACATTTCAAGCAAGTTAAAATGGAATAACTTAATTTTCTTTCTTGTTTTTTGGTATACATATTATGTTGATTAAAAGGTGTACCCAATTTCATTGCGTGTTGAAGTTTTGCTTTCGAAGTTATACACTTTTTCCCAAATGTTCCTTAATTTTGTTGACTAGTTTAGATACATACTCTAAAGAGCTCATTCTGACAATAGCCTTATGCTAGATGGTCAAAAGCTCCTTTTATATCTTTCTTTCCCTGTTTTTAGAGGTACATATCTGCCGCTGCGTGATCTGATAATTTGCGTGGAAAGGGGGTGTGATGGGTTGTTTATTATGCTTTTTATCTTTTTTATACTTGTAGTGTTATACATTGCATCAATTCTAGCAAAATCGTATCCAGAGATCTTGCTGGCTTTCTTATTGGTTCTGTCAAATTTTTCTTTATCTTTCACCCTACAAGGATGGATTTTGCCGAACGAGTTCGATAAGTTGTTTATAAATTGCAGTTGAAAACTTCTTTTTGCTCACTAGTGGGGATCACTTTTAACCTCAAACAGCTAGATTCTTAATTTTATAATCAATCTCCGCTTGCATTGCAGCAGGTAAACACACCAATACTACTGTTAGGACTAGTGTGTCGACATGGGGGGCCGACACCTGTGTGTGTGTGTGTGTGTGTGTGTGTGTGTGTGTGTGTGTGTGTGTGTGTTTATTTGTTTGTTTGTCTACCAATTCTCTCGACCACATCGAGACAGGCCAAAATGTTCTGGGGTTTTTTTTTATCTGGCCGGCTAGATTTTTAAAAAAATGAATGTCGGCTGGGATGCTGTGCGCCAGTCAGGCCAGGCTGTTCCGGGCGGGACGCCCACTATAATTTTTTGCATGTTCCCGGCAGTGCGTTTTCTTGACGTCATCGCCCGAATGACAGGCACGAAAAATGATGCCCGCTCATTTGCCGCTTGCCGAAGACAGGCAAAATCTCGGTTCTGTGGTTTGACGCTACACAGAGCTGACCTAGATCTAGATAGGTCCAAATCTAGGCCATAAAGCTTTCAGATCGAAATTATTGTTTCAATTGCTTACGGCTCAAATGTATGGAATCTAATTTAAAAAACAATTATTTCTTGCAAATATTAAATGAAATTGGGATAAAAGATATGCCCACAGTTCCAGTGGCGGTGGGTAGTGAAGGGTTCACGGGCTTGAGCCCCCCTCCCCACCCCCCAAGTCTATCCCAAGGCAAATGAAAATAACGAAATAAGCAGTTGAAACTGTTCTGATCGACCGCAATGAACACAGAGTGATCAACTAGGCGGCTTGCTCATTTATCCAATCACTGTTGTCCCCGCTTACAACTATAGTAACCTAACAGCCAATCAAATGTCTTTAGGGCTCAGCAATGAACCAGCCCGTTCCCACGGTCTCTCCTTAATGAAACCCCTCTTGTAAAAAGGTAGAAGACTTGAAAAAAATAACACTGCACAGAGGGCTCACGCTCTCCCAGCCCTGACAATGGGGTGAAAGTTTACGACACACTTTCCCCCAGTGACACAGTTACCTATGCGCCCATTGGGCCTTTGTTAGGCGCGTTCTATTTTCTGCTACAACACGACCCAATCCACCTCATACACGGTGTGTGATTGGAGTGCTGTGTGTTTGTGCCGCTGAGATGTAACAATAATCAAATAAAAACTAATTAGAGAAATTTGGAGGTGAAACGGCTTCGTCCCCACCATGCAGAAGAATTTAACGTAGAACAAAGAGATGGCAGACAAAGGTGACTCTTCTCGTTTGAATGGTTCTCAAAATGCCGTGGCTCGTCGTGAGTATAGAAAAATCATCACTGTGTTGTTCTTATTGCTTGCTTTTTGGTGGTAAAGAAGTGGAAGAAACCTAAGCCCCACCCAAATCTAGGTTCACCCACCGCCACTGCACAGTTCAAAATTATCCGTTTTCTTGGGTGAATCGAGGAGTGGCTGCAGATTCCACACAAGGCAAAAGATCATGCATGTACGAAAATCGTGTTGCACGAGAAACTGCGTGATGCAAGCAGAATGTCTAATTTGCATACAATGCTTTGCATGGTGTCGGCAAAAAATAACAAGTGGGCTCGAAGCCTCAGAGGGATGTTGGAGGGCCCCGCTGCCTCGTCCTTTTTTTTATCTTTCCCTCTATTATTTCTTACCGTCTCTCTTGCTTATACACGCACAAAATGACCGCTATCGTGTCAGTGTGCTTCTCGTACTGACTAATGATAATATTCCTGACAGCAGGGACGTTGGAAGAAGCCTGCCTCTCTAGTCATCTAAATGTGTCGATGAGGGTGTAAAATAATACCAATCTATCAACTTATTAGGACTTTGTCTTTTGTCTTCCCTAGTTCTAAAATATTTAATTCGATTTGGTCTTTAGGGGCATAAAACACTACCGATCTAGCAATCAGACTTCTATGTGTTGTGTCTTCCCCAGTCCCGGTCCACGGCTGAGCTGAGTCTGACTGTGGACAACAACCAGGCACAGCGAGAGCTCATTGCGCAGCTCGAGGCAAAAAACAGGTGAGTTCGTAAACAAACCCTCGTTTATTGGTACCTATCGCTGTGATTGTTTGTGTTGTTGATACTTTTGTTGTTACTCTTGGTGAAGGGTTCACGGGCACTGGCGCCTCTTTTTGTGTTATTATGCTTTTTTGTTGTTGCTTATTTGTGTTTGTGGTGTGGGTGTGTGGGTGTGCTTGTGTGTGTGTGTGTGTGTGTGTGTGTGTGTGTGTGTGTGTGTGTGTGTGTGCGTGCGCGAGCGTTTGTGTGTGTGAGTGTGAGTGTGAACATAATATGTACGTGTGCACGCCAATGCCGGTTGAGGATGCTATCGGTATCTTTCTTCTTTTTTTTCTCTTTTTTTTCTTTCTTGTCTTGTTTCCATTTTTCCCGCACGTAATCAGAGCTATTGTGTTAATCTGCTTTTGCTCACTCACAGTCACAGAAACAATGTTTTTGTTGTTATCATTGATGTCGATGTTTTTGTGGTGGTGGCGGTAGACGATGATGCTGATGGTGGTGTGGCGGTGATGATGGTGTTTGTTGGTATGTGCATGCGAGTATGTGTGTGTGTGTGTGTGTGTGTGTGTGTGTGTGTGTGTGTGTGTGTGTGTGTCGTGTTTGTGTGTGCGTTTGATGGTGCGTGCGTTTGGTTGTGCGTGCGTGCGTGCGCGTGTGTATGTTTATATATTGTTAGTAGTGGCGTCCAAAAGAAATACATGAAGCTACAGCGAGCATGTAGCACATCTCTGTGATTGGCCGAAATATAGATGACGTATTTCAGCCATCTATTTTTTGGCGTCTCGCGGGGTTTCCCTCGCCACTGTTCGCGCCCGCTTTGCCGCTGCGCGGCAGGCTTCGTCACTGGGCGGCGAGGAGAGGTTACTTTTATCGCCGACTGTTTGGTGTGTGCGTGTGTGTGTGTGTGTGTGTGTGTGTGTGTGTGTGTGTGTGTGTGTGTGTGTACAACTTTGAGGAAAAGCGAAATTCATTAAACAAGAATTCCTGAGATTGTTTATAAAAGATAACACAAATTAATACACAAAAAAACCCCAAAACAAATTAAGCAAACAAACAACAAGAACAAAGGGGTAAAAATGAAAAATGGTAGGGGCAGGGCTCTCTCTCTCTCTTTCTCTTTCTCTCTCTCTCTCTTTCTCTCTCTCTCTCTATCTATCTATCTCTCTCTCCTTATCTTTCCCTCTTTCTCCCCCTCCCCTCCTATGTCTGTCTGTCTGTCTCTGTCCCAGTGTCTGTCTGTCTGTCTGTCTGTCTGTCTGTCTGTCTGTCTGTCTGTCTGTCTCTCTCTCTCTTTCC